CTTTTCTGGAAAACTATAATTTAGCAATTATTTATTCCTTCTAAGTCTATGTTCATATAACAATAGGGGTTGTACATTGAATTTGTGGCAGTTATAGTTTGGAAACTATGACAGGACATCGAAAATAAAAGCATTTCAAAAATAACAAGAAACATTTTTGGCAAGGGCCTTGAAGCTTGAGGCATCACATTTTAGAATTCAGTTGTCAGCATAAATAGCAAAACAATTCCCTGTTCAATAATTGATATGTTATAATTTTAACATTGTATATTATTTATTTACTCACAATTTTAACCATATATTTGTTTTTAAATCCATATATTAAATGCATCAACCATCAGTTTTATCAACTGTACACGTCTATTGTCATAGCATGCCTGCTCAAGGAATTGTGTAAAGATGATTCATTTAAATTTCTGAATGCATTTACTTGCAACATGTCGGGTTATTAATTAATACTATAATAGTCTGTTGGAAATTTCAAGTTTGATTTATTCAACTAATTCGCGATATTTTAAACTGAACAATAGCGTATCCGAGCACTTTGTAATATAACATCAACAGCACACGTTTGTGCTATTAAACTGTCGTAGAATTATATTTCAGCATGAATTCGTTTTAAATCTTAAATCATATTATTGTTTTACATGTTGCTAAGTTATATGTTCCGGTTGATATGGTCTTTGGGTCACAGATAATACTTGTTCCTGGTGAATTCGTAAGTAACGCATCTTTATCACACACACGTTATACATGTATCTGGTGCTGGGGGGGGGGGCGTTGACGGTAGTTTGCACTTAACCAGTACCGTCAATGAACAGGCTCAATCAAACCGAGCCCACAACATTTTCAATTTTGCCGTGTTGGGCTTTCTTTAGTGATTCATATTTCTCTTAATTTTAAAGTTTAATTTGTCATTAAATTACCTAAAAAGGTTTTTTATTTTCCTGTTTCAAAAGTTTGCAAAGAAAGACAATGAAAATCAAGAATGTGTGCACTGGTTACACTTAAATGCCGATTATGCAAATTGTCCCAGGACAAATGCGTAATTACTCTCTAGATTCTCAAACCCTTTTCGTGTCCTAGTGGTCATTCACATTGGAACTTCACATTGAACAGGTGACTCTGCTTCTGTTATTATTTGGCAATGCGTACAATTATACTGCATAAGCATTGGAATGGAAGATCAAAATGCTAATTCTCTTAAGGTTTTTGCGAAGCTTATATGATACCATTTGCACACCAGCAGACTTTTCCTCCTGTTTAACAGCTGATACTTACTTTGCTGTTTACACTTAATCACTAAACTTATAAATATCATAGTTTGATTTTTGTAAAGACAAAATGTATGTCTTAACTAGAAAAGAAATTTTTGTTATTAATATCATGATAGTTTTATAACTGTCGAAGTTTGTTTTAGTGGTCTCGGTGTGCTACTTTCCGGTCAAGCACCCCAGTGGGTCTTTTTGAAGTGTTACGAAAAACTTAGAAATGTTGGTTACGATTAATGACAATATCTTACAAAAGATTTCAGGATAACGTCATGACTATATTTTTTATCGGTCATTTGATTACCTCATACGATCATTATCCTTAGTCTGCACTTAGTACAATTCTTAAAATGGAAAATTTAATATATTTATTTAATCTTTACTATGGCGACATGATGGTTGTCACGTTACATACAAATGTAATTATTACGTCGTTTCAGAAGTATTGGAGACATCATAAATTCAGCAAATGCAACTTTATTACATTTTAAAAGACAAATATACTTAAATGGCTATAAATGTCTTTATATTATATGGACTATGCTTTATAAACTAAATATAATCCGATAAATTCTTTTCAAATATTCTTAACTGGAATGAGTAAATAATATAATAGATATTTTTTCCATAAAAAACACAATTTATTTACTACAGAGGTTTAAATGGAGCACTATCGCCTCTTCATTTGTTGGACTTTATTCCTTTTAAGACATGCTCGCTTTTATGATCTTTGAATGCTAATATTGTAAAGTTCCAACGATAAAACCAGGCGGCAGATGCTGTTAACAACAGCATTAACATGATATTGGATATAATGAAACTTAACAACAGCATCTGCGAAAACACAAAGATCCCTTCGGCATTAAATTAAATTAAATGAAATATAATTAAAATGTACACATTCATCATATAAGTTTTAAGGAATCTTACGAATGTAAACAGTATACAAACTCTAGAAGCTAATAGATATGGTCCAAAATACTCAATTTACCTAATCCCTGTGTCTAAATTAGTGATGAATGAAAACCAAATCAAGCATTTGGCCAACTCGAAAATGTTAATCTGAATCAAAAAAATATTTACCATTTTTAGCCGAAGATCTATGCCATATTATTTATTATATAGCTGGACTTTTCGACAATAAAAGATTATTTTGACATGAAGAAATAAGGATATGTATATGAAAAGAACATTTTTTCCCCACATAATTATTTTTCTATTACAAAGTTTTGCCGGCAAACATAGTTTTATTTCATTAGGTATACGTTTGACCATGTAAGTTTTCTTTTGAGTAACAGATTGACGATGCCAAAGGTGTAAATGCCTTCACAATATTTTCCAGGCCACAAATTGGACTCGGCAGCACATTAAAAGGAATTTCTTTGATTTATTAAATTTAATCAAAAGTAATATCTAAACCCTTCATATTAAAGTACCCTTAACACAAGATGATAAATATTCGTTTTCATATATATATAAATGTTCGGTTGTTTTTTTTTAGCTAAACACTAATTTGGAACTATTTCGAAAGAATATTAGAAATTGAATTCAAGTAACAAACCTCTTGTGCAAATACATATTGATCCATTATTTTATGTGAAAACACAAGTTGTATCATAACTTTTCTATGTGTAAATGAATATTGCACCATTATTCATTATTTAATCTGCTGCAAATACGTAGTGTACTATTATTAAATGTGTAAATAAGTATTGTACCATTATTTCATGGGCAAATACAATTTGTACTATCATTTATTGTGCAAAAACATACCGTACCATAATTATTATTTTACGTGTCGAAGCATATCGCGCCATTTTTTTTATGTGAACATGTAAATACATATTGTACCAATGGTTTATGTACAAATTCAAATTTAACCATTTCGCATTGTGCAAAAACATACTGAACCATACTTATTCTCTTATGTGCAGAAACATATTGTGCCATTAATCTAAGTGTAAATACATATTGTACCGTTATTCTATGTTCAAATAGATATTTTTTCAATACTGACAAGCAGTTTAATTCCATATATTTTTAAATTTAAGGATGTTTTGGATACTTATCGTCTTGGCATATATTGTAAATCACCCAACAATTTTTGCATACAATATTTTACTGGATAATGGTTGTCAATACATATAGAGGATGTTTTTTTGTTTGTGTGTAAGATGAAATTTTATTTCATCGAGTGGGCCTTAAAAACAGTATTCTCACGAGTGGCGTAGCCACGAGTGAGAATACTGTTTTTAAAGTTCACGAGGTTTGAATAATATTACATCATACCACAACCAAAACAAAAAATTCTTTTTATCTATGCAAATTAAACAATTACCGAAATTTCTCTTATATTTACGGTTAATTTAATCTGTTTTCAGTGATAGAGCCTCAAAAAAAGTAGAATTTCTCATTAAAAACAAGAAGTCATAGGCTGAAAAATAAGTAAAATGGTGGTGATAGTATTCATTTTATTAGAAAAATATGTCTGATCGCTTGTTTAAATAATAAAAAAAAATTCTAGTAACCATCTATCCATATTTCTGTTACTGACTGCGGATTTATATCAGTCCTGGCTATGTTAAATGTAAGCGGCCGCCATTTTTAAAGTTGTGTATTTCACTGGATAAAAATAAGTGTGTTTGATTCTGAGGGATACCATTTGGATTTGTTAGTCATACACCTTTTTAAAAGAAAGAAAACTTATTTGAGGATTGTAACAGACGATAAATAAGTGTTGACAGATGTGTAAACATTCAAAAAAGTTGATAGGGATTGGAAAACTTGGAAGCCTTACGAACGCTGGATTGTTTACATATTTTTCGACTGAAAGCTGCCATTGCTTTTTAAGTTTTCATAAAGCATACGGCAGTTATTGCTCGTAGGATACTTAAATATCCACAGATGTCAACAAGAGTAGTTTTGCAAGTGGAAGGAATGTATTATTCATACGATATTTAGTGATTGGTAATTTGAATGAATAGAAGTAACTTACTGTAAGTTTTTTTTCTTTTTATTACTTTTGACATATAATTTATTTTTCAATTTCAGCTCTGCTTTTCTTTAAACAGCCTGACATTGTCGGAATAGTCACCAAAAATAGAATTGAGGTACCACATGGGAAAAATCTTAAAAAAGTAGTTTAGTCATTGAAAAGTGTGAAATTATATTTTTCACTGTGAAATTATTAAATATAATTTTCATGGATAAATAAGTAATCCACTGAAAAGCATAAAATAAACATGTATATTAAGACTATCATAAGCTTTACTTCTTCAAATTTACTTTTTATGAAGTTAATTATTCTAGAAAAAATTTTACTTTTCCGACGAAAGAAAAACAAACCAGATAAATGATGTTATCTGCATTGAAAAGCAAAATTAAATAATCTTAAAGTTATGCTTGATTTGTTTCGGCGGTAGAAAATGTCAATTATTATATAACGAATACTACAATAACGATGAACAATCTCTGCAAATAGTATATTTTCGGAACGAAAACGGATATACACGCTGTCAGTTTTTTGCTTCCACGGGTCCCTTTGCTGAAAGGCTAAAATGGGCAAACTGCTACATATAAATGAATCAGGTCAGGTGTCAAAAAAACAAAAAAAAAACAACAAAAAAAAACAAAAGTTCGCGTTCGTTAAACATGTAAATTTTCGCATCAAATGCATTACACATAAATTATATCAATTTTAGGAATTCTTCTATAATATTTATCTTTAAATTTGTCGTCCCGTTAGACATATCTCTTAGTGACAATATGCCGTTATTCATACAATGTAACGGAAGTGTCATATTGGAGTTACCATGATTCTTGCCGCATGAACACAACTGTTTATGCTACTAAATTCTGAATCAAACGACAATGATATTTACTAATGGTTTGTTCTGTTCCAGACCGTGATAGAATGTGTAATCGGTTGTTTTACATGTAACATTGCCATGTTACACATGTCATTAAAAACGAGGCTGCAGCATTTTCAAACTTTTTCCACACTAGCCGGCTTTATTATTCCCCATTTTCCTATTTTCTATATCAAGATAGAAACTGCAGTTTCGTAGATTACATCATAACTTCAAAATTCATTAACTTCAATGATAAATGTTAAAATGTAATACATAATTATGTGATTATTAAGATGAATAACTCTGATCAACGTAAGGATAAAACCACACATTTTAGGAATAAAGGTTTTGCTATCATTTGTTTATTATACATGTATATCATGCGTTTGCAAAATTCCTCAGATGGTAGAGTAAGATGTACAACATTTTTTTTCACCCGGTAATGACAGAACCGCCATTTATATCTGAAAAATAAACATGTACATAAAAATGCGTCAAACAATTTAATCTTCTCGACCCTTTCCGTCAAACATCGAAAAAGGACCAGTTATAAGACAGAAAATAGGTTAAGAAGTAAAAAGTCAGGCCTGTGAATTGTTAGGTTCAGTGTGTTAGTTTACTTCTAGTATTATTATCATGTAGATGTTGATCTTGATAAAATTAACTTACCGCTATAAAGTTAAATGCACATTATTTTATTTACAAATTTGTATGTTTTTTTTAACAAACCGAACAACAACTTAAATACTAGTTATAATATTTTGGATTTGAATGTTGTCTTTTGACCAAGAGTATCCTGAAATTTTCTTTTTATCAAACATCAACCAAAATATTACCGAACAGTACTTTGTTTTCAAACACATGGCAAACATATATATGTTATAAACATATGGAGGTCAACGATTCATTTAAAACAAGCAATTAGTTACTTTTTTCTCTATTTTCATGTCTATATGACGGTGTTTTCGTATCGTGATGTGTTCATGAGGACGTAACAAACGTCTTAACGTGCACATACTATCAAAATTTAGACAGAGTCTCTAGGATGCAATAATGAAAATGCGTTCAAGCTCCCATATGAAAAATTGTCTAAGAGTAATAACAACTCTGTGTCATTTGGGTCATTTTGTGACTTTTTGATACAAAATAAATAATATTTTACTGATTCTAGATATGGGTATCGAACATACCTTTACATCCCGGTTGGTACCCAGTTTGTGACGTTTGGTGTCGTGAACAAGGCACACCAGTACCTTTAAATAGAATTCAATACAATACAAATGTCCAGTAAGCATATTCAAAACACAGAAATATTTGGCTGTTTCTAACAAAATTGGTGCTGTCTTTTTAATTCAAAAACACTAATTCGCTTCTTACATTGACTGTATATTAAACAGCCGCCGATTTTTTTAGTAAATTAAACTTAATTGATATGCGTTTTATGAAAACAACAAAAACTTAAATCATAAAAAGTGAAATTTCAAACACTGCTCTCATTTGCTCAACAAAACGAACATATGTTTGATATATATTTTATAGGTGTTTTAACTACTAGATGAAAATCAAATTGAAGATTTAAAGGACAAAGTCTGGAAAGAAAAAAAACAAATATATCATTAATTGTCTAGTGAGCAGTTCAAAGAATGACTATAAAGAATAAAAGTGCAAAACATTGATATGAATCCGCTGCAACTTAAAATAAAAGAAATCCATGTGAAGTTCGATTAATAATTTCATGCAAAATGGTCATGCACAAAAATGAATAACTTTCGATGTATGCTGGAAATGACTTTTATACACATGCAATCGTATTTTAATACCATTAAATAAAAACATCAAATTCATTTATTTACCTGCACAATACGCCATACTGCATCCAATTGTTGGTTTCAACTCGTACACATAGAATGCTCCGCAATTCTTTACTCTTATTGTGCTCTCGTATCTACAGCAGTTCATTGAAATGGAACCGCAAATCTTTTTATCAGAAAACAAAATTAATATAAAATATGGAACCTCAAACGACACCCTCCTCTAAATAGTAATAAAAAAACCATCAAAATTGAAAATCACAAGATTGGCTTGATTGTGCCCGTTCATATACAGAAGTTGTAGTAAATGCAAGCTTCCATTAATTAGTTGTTACTTTCATTATTAGCAAAAAGGCATTTTGACTGCTTATTAAACATATATTAAATCAACATTTAAAAATTTGCCTTTGGACCCGATAATTAAGATAATTTGGCTGAAAAGGGATGCTTTTACCACAGTTCCATTCTTCCAAATTATGTCCTGTGTATAGATTAAACCAATGCATGATAGCAATCATTGAAATTCTTTACAATTAAGTCATATCTCTTTAGTTACTTTATTTAAATGATGAATAGTTGATGAAAAGAAACAAATTTAGGGCCAATCAGAGGCAACAAGTATTTAAATATACTTTGATGTACTGAAACATAATTATTACCTGTTTCACCACTATGTCGTCAGCAACAGTAGGATGCGTTCCATTCATCCAAAATGGCGCATGTGTACCACAATGATATTCAGAAACACAAGTAGTCGGAATCTTGACAGGCATTGAACCGTTTAAGCCTGAATTAACAATAATATTCAGAAACACAAGTTGTCGGAATCTGGGCAGGCATGGGACCGTTTAAGCCTGAATTAACATAATTGAATACATTGTTTCTTTTCGGGAACGTGTACCTGTCTGCGATGTCTATTTAGTTTAATTAACTAATTTAAAAGAACGTATCGTAGGCTATATGAACTCTAAGCTATACTAAGTATTTAATAATAAATTCGTATTAATAAGTAAGTTGTGTATTTCAAAGTCGTGATTTCTTTTACCATCGTGATCACTTTAATCATGTGGATATCTTAATATAAAAACACGTAAATAAGTACAAAATAGAATTCAAAAGGAATAGTATGCACATAAAAACTATAAATATTCCTTCACTTTGTCAAGCAGATGTATAAAATAATCCGCCAGTTTAACAGCGATTCTACATTCTGCAAAGTGATTCTCATTCTATTATTGAATTTACCCTGAGTAAATCTGTACCAGCCTGGTTGTAAATGCATATCGCATACCATAGGTTCAAAGTGGGCTGCATCTAAGGAGTAGTGGTATTCAACGCTCCTGTACTTGTTATTTATCTCAATGCTATTAGTACATGGATCTAAGCTGCAAACTATGAAATATAATAAGGAAAGCTCGTTACATTACAAAAGTGTATAGAAACTTCAATTTTGAAATATCTCAATCTGCTATCTACATCTTTGTTTATTCTTATTGATTTTGTTACCGTTACGCCAATTTTAGCAAAGACGTCGACATACCTCTGCAGGCGATCTTTCTGACTTGCCTTTACCAATAACTTACCAGATTGTTTTTCATTTTACTGCAATAACTGAATTTCTGAATCAGCGGCGACGAGAGACATATGACTTTAAGACTCGTGAAACCCAATGCTGCAGATCACTTGTCATCAAGGTGAGCTCAAATGTTGAAACTGTTAAGCACTTAATTGTATGACAACTTAAAATAATTATGTTTTATCAAATCGTTATTATAAGAAATTAAAAAACAATGACACGTACATACAAAAAAGTCATTCGTACTTAAAATACGTCGGTATGATCGATATTGTAAAATTACAGTACGATTTCTAGCAATTAATCTCGAGACATACTTACCAACTTGTACAACTACAGCAATAAACCAAATCGTTAACATGGTTCCTTTTTTGTAACCAACATACAAGCCCTAGTATTCTCTGCAATAAAATATAACAATTCTATTTGTTTATGATATCAAGTTCCTTTATCTAATAAGGACACACGATAAATCTATATATAGGCCATGTCTCAAGATATAAGTATAATAGATTTTAGTCTTAGACTAGTAATATGTGTAACAGCAAGACATTTGGTCGCTAAACAACAATTGCCATACACATCATTGTCTTGTTTACGACTAAAAGCTAATAATACAATAGGTGTTTTTGCCTAACAAGACACAAAAGTAATGAAAGTAACTACGAATATTACACGTTCAAGAAAATTGTCATTTTTTGAAAAACAACAGTTATGTTTTAATTTTATTGACAACTTGACATGAAGATTTATTTTATGTAAATCATGGACGTACATCATTGAATAATAAATGAAAGGCCTCTCCACAATTGAATGAAAATCGTCAAAGCAATGACGATGTTCTTGTGGTGAAGGCCACAATATAAAGCATGAAACATGTATTTTTATAATTATAAAACATGTTTGACCCTAACATATTTTCTAAATACAAACAGGTCTTATGATTGCAATATTCCTGAAAAGTGATTGAAATAATTTTATGTCGAATTCAAAAATAATAGAAACAAATAAATATGAATTTGAAAAAATCGTAATAAACGACAAATAAACATGTAGTCAATAATAAAAAAATGATCAATAACATGGTAGGAATTATTTAAGAAATAGTACACGGCACTGAGGACCCCATACACGTTTAGTGACCTCAAATATTTAACGAACCGAAGCCGGAGAGTGACTTGGAGGTCACTATCATGATATAAGGTCCGAATAACTGCGTGTTATTTCTAATATTATACTGCATTTATTAGAAAATTAGTAAAAGAGAAGGAAAATCATCTTGTTTGCATAACGAAATGCTTTTTGAAAACTGTTGGTATTGCGCATTTTGTAAATATTCCCCGATATTATATGTCTGGCAAGTACGTCATAGTGCCAGCTCAGGCGATCAATAAGTTTTTTTATGTCGGACCTCTGACATTATCATCAATACAATATCATCTAATGACTTGTTAACACTTATATAGACAACACAGGGACAAAATTTATGTAAGGTATATAAAAGGTAACTAAACGCTAGCTTCTGGGTTTGTGTAAGAATAAATAAGACAATGATTCACTGGCTGGAGTCAACCAAGGCTATTTGTTAACGCTGGATGTTACTTTATTTCGTAATTTAACTTGCAAATGCATCAGAAAAAACCCTGCCGTACAGCGGATTAAAAAAATGAAATGTGTCTCATAATGCCAAATTGAAAATAAACAGACCGGTTATAATCGCGTCAGAACGCTCAAATTAAAAAAAATACGATAGAGAAGGATATCTTAAATGTGTTATTCCTAGGAAAAAAAGTAATTTTATGGCATCCTTGAAATGTCAAACATTATTTTTATATTTCTGTCTCACATTAAACTTCTATGATGTGTCTATTGTTTCAATTTGTCTCATTTTACAAACTGAGAAACTGTGTGATTTCACATAAGTGTGCTTTATCTATCGATCACTTTAATTATTACAATGAATGTGAACTTTTATTGATAAAAACCGTTTGTTCACAATGAAAATGGTCTAAACACATCGCTGTTTAAAAACCTTCCACCTGCCATTTAAATAGCATCAGCGCTGACATAAAAATTATGCGCACCAATGACAATTTCTTATTTAGAACAGCAGCATTATCAATGAAAAAAAACAATAAAAAGATCATCAATAACAATAAACAACAACAACGACAACAATCAAACACAACAGTCACAAATAAAAACAAAATAAAAAACAACAAGAATCAAAGTGTAATTTTTTTTATCAAATTTACTAGTGAACATGTAGGTAAAATGCATAGAATATGTTATAAAAATATTTTTATCAGTTTTTGACAATACCATATTGTTTCAACATTAAAACACACACACACAAAACAACAGCAACATAACACTGGATACATATACATATCTCTTCAACAATGTATTATCTCCAATTTTCTAGTAATTGAGTTATCTTCAATTTCTCATATAGCTGTTGCGTCAATTGATAATTGATTATGTAATTTATTAAGACATTTATTGTGCACACCACACATTACTCGTATGTTTCTGCATTTGTGAAACACTATACACTCAGCATACTTGTCGGAAACTAAATTTAATAAATTTAAATTTAATATTTCTATGGTATGTACACAACGTAAAAATTATAAGTCACTTTATATACTTAATGTATCGAAAGATATAAGATTAAGTTTTGTAATACACTCAAAATTTCAATATTACTCTTTAGTTAGAATAATGACAATGGAAAGGTCAAGAGTCGTCAACGAAATAGGTGTTTGTATTCCGATACAACATCTGTGATTTTGTAAATATATATAAACAACTGATTTCTGCATGTCTAATAAAGTGTTCTTGGAAATGTTGGCATACATAATTTAATAAAAGCTTCGTCAGACGCCATTCTTTCCATAATACAGAATTAATGAAATTTCGCTTGGTATGTAAATGATCTAGACATTTCCTTATCTCTTTTATATTGTTCTTCTAATACCATTTTGAACGCAGTTGACAATTGAACAGAATTGTTACCACGCACTGATTTGATGATTTCAGTATCATTATGCTGCAGAATAGAGATGTCTGAACACTTAATTGCAGGATATCGTTTACAATACCCGTGTTTTGAATTTCACACCATTTAGTATATTTTAATTGTCAAATGGATAACCTTTTCGAAAGTTTGAGTGTCAAGATTTTCAAGATTGGTGATTAAATGCAGTATCAAATAATACTGCAATATATATTGTACAAGTATCTTTATAACTGATCCAGGCTATGACATAGTCGAAAATATTCATTTATATTTCTGATTTGTTTAAAAAAAAACACTTCCTTTCTCAAACTATTTAATGCAAACACCAATTCAAAAGACTTAAACAAAAGTGTCATCGTATACTTGTTTTCATTTCATTTGTTTATATTTCATAGAATAGGGATTTGTACATACAACGTAATTGCCGTCGGTTATAAAACATACTGTTTGTAACATGATACACATAATTTACATTATATCATTTTAAGTTTGTATAAAATGTTATATTTCAAACTTCCAAACATAAGGCACAATAAAATGAGAAGGAAACTTGTCCGTAATGCTTGAAATCCATTTAAATAAACACATATAATTTGATTGTACCATCTCCAAGGTTTTAATATTTCCCGTCTAAAAACATAAATAAAATAACTCACTCATCTGCATATAACTGCAGACATAGATAATTAGGAGGCATTAACAACAAATAATGGAAAGCAGTCACATTCCTTCAAATGTGCTATCAAGATGATTTTTATCTGTAGTCAGACTTTGAAGAGACATCGAAACAGTTAGGCGTTCAAGAATACAAAATACAAATCATATGTTTCAATCTATTTGAGCTCAATCAATGAAGAACATGAATATTTTTTAAATGTTGCATTTTGATAATCGTGTATCAAACTATATAGCGTCACTTTAAATTGTCATAATTTCTTAAAAGCAATTAGTATAGTGTTACAAATGATTAATAAAAGTGTTATTTAACATTGAAAAGAAGGTTGTCATTCTTGGCTGTGTAATTACGAACGCCTGTTCACCATGTCTATCTTTTTTCTTAAATGTGTTCACTTCAGAAAATATGGCATCTATTGACTTTAACACCATTTCATTTTGCATTCAAATCGTTAAAGTACTAACTAATTGTAAGTGACATCATGAAAAAGGTCAAAGTTTACAAGTTGGCTCTTTTGTGAATTCATTTAGAAAAACACATTTAATCTTCTCTCATATACACACTTTTTCCATTTGATAAACCGTGAACGTAACACTTTAGTTTAATGTTTTATGCAATTGTCCATTTCAAATAAGTAAAAAACCCCGATACAATTTTTGTGCAGTCACGTCATGTACGTAATAAACCTACGACGGCTATAAATATTACATAAAATAACGTTATATGTTGATGTAAGTGCAACAGCCAGTAATAAAAAATGTACGATAAACACAACTCTACTTCCAATCAATAAGACAAGCTATAGAAGGTAAGATAGACGTTGTCGTGTTTAAATTATATAGTATGACAAGATGTAAATGAAATGTTAAATAATATCAAACAATTATGTAGACAATTACAGAAGATGGTGTTTCCAGTTCTTGTCATTATATTTTTAGGATTATTTTATATCGCTTCAAAACCTTTTTCAAAGATCATTTGATTACTTTAAATATATTGTGATTGTATTTGTCTAGATCATTTATATGTAATGCTTATAATCAACTGAATCATTTACAACACAAACACTGAAATGGAGACAACATGAAATTTCAAAAAGTACAAATTAGGAGATATGGAAGAAGCAGTGATGATAATCTCTCACGTGTTATAACAAGGAAATAAATCCCAGACGTAAAAATGTAACAGAGTTTATTAGATTAGATTAATAGAGGGAAATTAAGGATAATATTTACCCAATCAAATACGCGCATTTAATAATTACGACACAAGTACAAATGGGGCGTCCGTGGCCGAGTGGTTAAGGTCGTTGACTTCGAATCACTTGCCCCTCACCGCTGTGGGTTTGAATCCCGACAGGGACTTTGGATTCTTTCATGTGAGGAAGCTATCCAGCTAGCTTACGGAACGTCGGTGGTTCTACTCAGGTGCCCGTTCGTGCCTGAAATAATGCACGGAAGGGCACCTGAGGTCTTCCTCCACCAGTAAAGCTGGAACGTCGCGATATGACCTATACTGTGTCAATGTGACGTAAAACCCAAAACAAACAAACAAACAAACAAGTACAAATTATAGCAAGGAAATAAATCCCAGATGCAAAAATGCAATATACAGGGTATTATTTACCCAATCAAATACGCGCATTTAATGAACTCGACAAATGTACAAGACAAACTTGTCCAATAAATTAACCCTTTCCTTCATGAGCATATTGTGAAAAATGGCCGTTTTACATTGAAAAGCCTCCTG